TGGGAGTAGGCCTGTAGAAGGCAGAGAACACGGACTTCCCTGTTGGTCCCTGCACATGGGGCTGATCTGGACCGAGTTTGGGAAAATTATTCCCGCTTTGTTTCTTGGTCAAATTAGGTTTATGATATATCAAATTGAAGCTTGAGGTGTCTAGTTTCTTGTATAAAAATTTGAGAGCAATTGGGTGAGTGGATTTTCCAGAATAATTTGAAATCCATAAGGATATAGTAATGATTAAATATAGGGAGATGAACTGACTATGTATTATGTGTATAAAGAAGAAGTGGAGAGAATTGTTGTGAATGGCACAAGATAAATGTACAATGAAGGCACTATTGTAGTTAATGGATGTCGAGTCTAATTGACAGAATTGCCATTGGTAAAGGGGTAGGACGGTTGAATGGTATAATCTCATATAAAATAGTAATGAGAATGGTATAAGAAATTAGGATCCAGTGGTGTGTATATATACTACTAAAGGTAGTGTGCTTGCGAAATAATTTGATAATCGATATGAATTTAGGAGAAAATAATATGATGTGATATAGAATTTATGCATAGAGATATGGTCTCCTAGTAGTGGGGACGAGACTTTCCCTGTAGCGATGCACTGTGTGGATTGTCGAGTGGTGTGGACCAAATAGTAGACTTATAGTTAAAGGATACCCTTGGAAGTACCCATTAGATCTTATGTCTAGGAACACACTGGGCCTACAGGCTATTGAATAAGCTGATATGCCATTGGATAAACTTAAATGACAGAGAATATTAGTAAAGGATAGGTGGGTTATACTTAATGAACTGATTGTCAGTCTACATCTTGAAAGGATAAGTGGACAATGGTCTTGCGATGGCATAAGTGCAAATGTATATATATATATACCTTGAGTGAACCTGAGTGCCGGTATGCAGATGTTGTGACCGTGAAATTGTTCTGGGCTTCCCTTTGGGGATTGGATCCTAAGAGGTATGACTCTTGGGAGTCCCAGATGGACACTGTTTGAAGTGGAACTCATTGGATGGCCTCTGTGTGCGGACTGCGTGAACCAGTAAATGATGGCATTCCTCGTAACGTATTGAAGAATCGATAAATGGAGTGACGATGTTTGAAATGTAATGGATATTCTACAACCGCCAAGGGGAGTAACGAGCAAGAAATAATGGACAATGGATTTGAAATGTAACATGATAGAAGGAACTATTAAGAGTTAGGAAATATGTACAAAATTATGAGGAGAATATGAATTATTGTAATAGTGACGATGTTATAAAACAGGTCTGAGGGTTAACCAAAATGAAAGTAAACTATCGGTGGGGAGAATTAAACGAGAAAGTTATAATGAATTTACCTATATGTAATATGTTTATATTATACCACTACTATTATTGGCCGAAAGAGAAATTCTTGTAATAGTTACACGTACCGCCGCAGCCACCACCACCACAACCACATCATATGGAAAGGAAAGTGATGATCCGAATTTTTTTTATATTTAATAGGAATTATTTTTGTTATATTATTTGTTGTGTTATCAAACACAATTCTCATTCTTGGAATAAAAATAGAATATGTTATCAAATACATTTTTTTTCTCAGAAACTATTACAAGGCATAGAAATAGAAAAAAATTGTTTCTTTTTAGAAACAGTGCTAGGGAATAGAATGATTGTCATGCACACCCTAAGACTATCCTATTTGCTTTTCCCCCTTTTGTTATTACATTTTTTTCATGTGAAAGTTTAGGCTTATTCACGTGATCTCAATCAATGTAAATTACTCATTTATGCATTGATGGCTTAGCATATTCATTACACAATATGTAGAATCTATCTCATATTCTCAAATTAGTAAGCTTTGAAGACACATAGCAATACGTCGATGTGCAATCATTAGCAAAATGCCTAAACAATACTCACTCACTCTCTTCGCTAACTGATTATTCTTTTGGATATGATTTATGTTTGAAATATATAGGCTCAGTCAAAGAAAATGATTATAGAGGAAAATTTTCTAGACAATGGAATACATTTTAACAAACAATTTTCTATTTTTTTTTTCTAATCATAGGGTATTTTATTTATTTTTGGATATATTTATATATAGATTTTTTATAAAAATTAATATCACACGACATATTAAAAAAGAAGAATTATATAAATTTTATATTAAAGGTATTTTTGTTAAAAATATTTATTTTTATCCTGTATAGTATTATACAGTGCATTACTAAAAACTGAATAATATTATCTTATACAATACATTATCTTATATAATATCATGCCAAACGCTGGATAATATTAAAATTTTATCAAACATTATACTATCAGGTCTTATAGTATTATGCCTGATTGGTGCATAGTACAGGATAAGACCTGATAGTATTATGCCTGATTGTATAAGGCCTGATTGAATTTTAATACTATCCAGCGTTTGGCACGATATTGTGTAAAATAATATATTGTATAAGATAATATCATCTAGTATTTGGTAATGCACTGTATAATACTATATATGATAAAAATAAATATTTTTAATAAAAGTATCCTTTAATAAAGAAATTATATAATTCTTCAAAAAATGTCATACGATATTAATTTTTATAAAAATTTATTGATAAGTGTATCCAAAATATAAATTAATTTTAATAAAAATAAAAATATTCAATATTTTAAAAATTAATATATTGAAAAATTAATTTTTATTTTAATAGATTAATATTAAAATAATATATTAATTTTTGAGAATTACATTGGTCAACGATGTTAATACATCAATCTCTTATCAGGCTTTATCCCTCTCCCTTAGGCCGAATTAAGTTATACATAGTTTTGATGTATTAAGAAATTATGCTGTATAAGCTTATACTATACGATTGTCACACCAAATAGCTGAAAATATCATAACGTATAATATAAACTTATACTATCATGTCTTATACGTCACACCAAACAGGTCCTTAACTCTTATCCTATCCTATGGCCATTAAATAAGTTGGCTTTTTGCATTCACCATGGACCGACAATAATTACATGCCCCAGTAGATTACAATTTTGCTATGGCCATAAATTAACACCAATCTCTTAAATTTGATGCTTTCACTTTATTTTTTTTAGATAATAACATGAAGATAATCATTTTGGCTTGTGCATAATCTATCACCCTATTATGAAATAAAAAACTATACCTTGCGAATGATGAATTGATGACCACGAATGTCTCAAAAATAAAGTTTATATAACCTCTGTTTGGATAAAAAAAAATTTACAGGAACAACTTTTACCCACTTGACAAAAAAAAATGGCTTTCAAATTATACTGGATGTTTGGTAGAGGAAATTTTTAATTTTACCTAAATATTATGATTTTTAAAAATATGGTAGGAAAATAAGTTTCCCGAGAATGTTACCAAAAAGTTATTTGATGGGCCAAAATATTTTCAAAGATGTTAGGTTAATTTTCTTAATGCTATGTTTGGTTGTGTTAAATTTTTACTTGCCATGGGAATTCTAGAATATCACCTAGGGATAATATTCCTTAACAGTATTTTCAGAAAATTTTACACATAAAATAAAATTTCGGAAAAATTAGATTTACAGACAATTTTCGAAGGAATATGTTATTCTGTCTACTCTTATTTTACCTATCTCTTTTAATACCGTTGGATTAAAATCTCATCTAACGATAGAGATTTACGGAATAAAATAAACCATTTTCCCCTTTCTTCCTCCTTACTGCCTCCTATACTCTTTCTCTCTCCACCACTTTTTCTTTATCGATTTGCGTAATTTACAACCTGAATTTATATTTGAATTTAAATCCATTCAATGATTAATTACATGATAGTTCTGTTAGATGAATATAGTTTTCAAATTGAATCTTATATAATTGAACACGACAGAAATCACAAAAATACAAAAAAACGAAAACCACAAATAATCTTTTCCTTTGAATTAATCCACAATTACAGTAACATTTCTATTTTGCAGTTGAAATTTGAAATCAAATCAACTTATCTCCTTCTTCTTATATTGTTTTTCATCTTGAAGTGGGGAAAAGATCTTTGTTCTCTATGTTATTATGCCCAACAATAGGCCTACTTGATCCCATAACATAGGACATATGAGTTTGTTTCTTCTTGACATCCCTTTTTAATTTTTTATGTAAATGCTCATAATAATGGCTAGGTTAGATAAATTGAGAAAAAAGATTGCACTTTTTTTTATGCTGAAGCGCCATTGAAGAGAGAGAAAGGGGAGGAGAGAGAAAGAATGAGAGGCAGTGGGAGAGAGAAAAGAGTAAAAGAGTTTATTTTATGGGGCGGGATAAACTTACTACCAAAAATGTTTACCACCTTTACAACCAATCTAATCACCGTTGATTTTCGTCAATCTAACTATTATAATTTATTGAGATTAATAATTAATTCATAAGTACAACCCAATAATTTACAATAAAGTATAACCGTTAGATTGACAGAAATCAACGGTGATTAAGTTGGTTGTAAGGGTGGTAAATATTTTTGGTGGTAAGTATATCCTTCTCCTTTATTTTATATAATAAGTCTCCATCATTGGATGAGATTATAATCTAACGATATTGAGAGGGGTAGGAAAAATAAATTTTAGAAATCTCATACCAAACATAAATAAATAAAGGAAAAAATGTTTGTCATTTTAAATGACATAACGTTATGTTATTTTAAGAGAGATAAACACAAAACAATATTTTTTTATTTAAAATTTAAATTAAAAAAATCACTCACTTTCTCTTCCATAATTTTCATTCCTGGTGTCTATCACTCTCTTAAAATGACATAACTTATATCATTTAAAATGACAAACACCAAATCCATAAATAAAATTACCACCTTCAATTTATAAAAAATCGTGAATAAAACCTTCTACCAAACGCCATGGCCCAACCTTTTATGATAGAATGCAACCAAGTGGCTTGTTGGAAGCATGACATAATCCATTCAATATTCTCACATTGAGAGTCAATAATACCATAGTCATCGCGGCAATGAATTTATTTTCGGTCTTGCCTCAATTAATATTCTCAACAATTTAATAACACACTATTTAATGAGAATCTTAACCAAGGGAGGAGTTAATGTTCACATTACTAAAGAATGGAGTAAGTGTATAAGAATTTGAACAGACGAAAGGGGTTCATAAAAGGGTTCTACTAAAGGGAAGAAGAATGAGCCAGTCAGGCATGGAGGAAGAAGCCCCAGACGTTTTGTGCCACCTGGAAAACGTTCAAGGCTTAGTGGACGCCCTCACCGCCGTTCGATGGAAGCGCCACCAGGTAATTAAAACCCTTCCTCCTCCTCCTCCTCCTGCTTCATCTTTCACAACCCACTACTCAACTAACTAGTAACTACCTAGGACGCCGTTTTGGAATTGTCCGAACACGGCCTCGTTTTGATAGTCGAAGAAAGCGGTTGCCTCCAAGCCAAGGTTTATCTCAAACGTGAGGTATCAAATTTCTTTAATTTAATTACTATTTTATTATTGGGTTCATTTTTATTTTTTTATTCATCTCAATTTCTGACTTCAGGGGTGGTTTCGTATTTGTAGCTATTCATTCGCTATGATTACAATGCACACGGACGACCTCGTTTTGGAGTGAGTTTGGGGCTTTTCGTGGATTGCTTGAACGCCTTCTCGGTTCCTGGTCATTCAAGCGTCATTCAGATTCAATATCCTGGTCCTGACATGCAGGTTCTTCTCAAGTATGTAACTGCGGGCCTTGGCTCTTTTGATTTTCATTCATAATAACCGAACCGGGAAAGTGGTTTGGTTCGGGCAAACCGAACCAGTTTTAAAATGTGATCAAGTTCTTGAACCCCTTCGGAAAAAATGTTTGGTTCTTAAGTTGATTTGGAAAAATGTGTTAGCTGTTTGGTTTGGTTCGTGGTTTGATTTAATTCATTTGGTTTTTTTACACTCCTGAAATTGGGTATGATTCAGTTTAGTTCGGTTTTTTGTCCGAACCAAACTGAAAATAGGGTTGTGTTTCTGAACTGATTCGAAAAATCAGTTTGATTCTTGAGCTAATTCGAAGAAACTAGTTCGGTTCTTAAACTGGTTCAAAAATATGTGGCTTTTTTGGTGTGGCTGACATCGGTTCATAGTTCAGTTCGAGGATTTCACAAATGCAGCATGTACATTACATTTTTCCGTGGCATTCCTTTAATGAGTAGGGATATTTATAGATAAGAAGATGTATGCACACACGAGAATTTAACATGGTTAGTCACATGTCTGAGACAAGAAACAGTAACAGAAAATACTAGTGAGTAAAACTATATACCAATTTCGGTCCTAAATCCCCTTATATACTCCTCTTGTAAGTCTTCTTCAAGTATTTGAAAATGATCACGCTTGAAGAAAAGTAAACAAGCGTGTTGACATCTTCAACTTCAATGCAAACAACTCATGCTACAAACAAATAACATCAACACATGGCGTGCAAGAAATTCCACGAGATGTTCCACCCTGTTTTTTGATAATTTCGAATAAATGTCCATCTTGACTTGAATTGAGCCATGTTCCAATTTGAGAACCTAATCTGCATTTTACTAAAGGGCCTAGCACCAAATTCCATAAACAGCACGAATATCCATGTTTGTTACGCCAAATGAGAAAGTAATTGCCATTAGCCTTCTTATTTGTACCCAATACTCATAACTTGAATTAGTTATGGTCCTAACTCTGCTTGATTCAAAATTTCAAACATTAATCGAGGAACGTGTGTAATTTCAAGAGTTTGAATCAAATCAAATCATAGTTGCAAATTATTCTTTTGCTACTGAAGTTCTGCCTCCTCAATCATCATTATCCTTGTGGTTGCAACTAGGACAATAAAATATAACACGACCGATTTTGTTGCAATGGGGCAATAAGTACCTATTCCTTGGATCTTGGAATCAGTGTTGTACCCATTCTCTTATGATTCTCACCTTGAGAAACTAACATTGATACATCCTCCTGATTACACTTCTTTTGAGAATCGGGGCAAAAGGTTTACCTGTACCTGAAACTTCTTGACCCGGTGGATGGGGCACCTTGGTCAGGTTGTCAATTGTCAGTTGGAATGGCGGAGAACTGGATATGGCAGTTGTAGAAAAGCACACCAAAAAAGTTTATTACTGCCTGAATTTACAGTAGGCTGAACATAGGACACTATACAAAGGAGTTCCATACATTGGGAACACAAAATAGACTAGTGATGAGATTAGGTCATAAAGGATGGTACTTCACTGATACCACCTTAAAACAATGTGTCTTGGAGGTATTGTGTGCCTAATTGCCTATACACTGCATACTGAACTCTTATTTATAGTGTGATTACAAATGATCAAGGAGCAGTGAGGGGTAAATTAGTCGTTAGTCCAGTTTCACCTGCAATTATATTGCGTTTCATTTTCATCCTATATCTTATAACCTGCCAAATTTGCCCTAGTCACTAACTCTGTTAGAAATGCTAATGGAAGTTGCTTAAATGGCATTCTATGTGAGTGTAAGTGAACAATTGGCTTGGCCAATTAGGATTTCTGTTCTTAAAATCTGGGACAAAAATGAAACAAACTGTAGTTGGTGCGTGACCCCACCAACTTATAGCTTCAGAAAATGTAGTGCCAAACTGCCAATTGTATACTTATGTACATAAGATGACACTTTAGCAAGTTTTATTAACATTTCTAACCATTAGTGGTTGGGACAAGTTTGGTTGCTTGAGATGAAAATGACTGATAGAACCAGAAAACTCATAGATTAAAGATAGTCAATTACAATTTAACAGACCTTTTGATCCTTACCATTTATGTATTTGCTTTTTGTAAACACATATTCCACAGTATGGAATTTTTTTTGTCATGTGAGAACTATTAGTTGAATCTGTTACTCCATTCTGAGTGTTAGCCATAATGATGGTTTATTAAATAGGATTCTTGATCGCTCAATTTTCTTTAGAACTCTAAAACAAAGCAACTTTGTGGAGTTGTCTTGTCTTAAATGTACTTTCTCTGCTTTTTTAGATCTGTAGATTCGCCGAATGGCAGTATTTGTGCAGAGATCAGGACAAGGATTCCTGATACAATTGCATGGGACTACAATTTTGAACCTGCTGGGACAAACCCTTTAACCTTTACTGTTAAGGTATTGCATTAATTTCTCATATGACATGCAAATGCTGCTTGAATGTCCTAACAATCCTTTACATGTCTGTGGTTTTTTTAATATGATTACCAATCCCCCCCCCCCCCCCCTCTCTCTCTCTCCCACACCCCCAGGCGGACACTTTCAAAATTACTGATTTAATGTAATAGTTCAACCACATTACTAGTTAATAGTGTAATTTTACACTCTGCATTTATAAAATAATATTAATAATTATTGCTTTGAGTCCTGCAATGAATCCTTTGATATGATAAGTTAGGTTTTATGCTTCTGTCGTTTCTGAATTTACATTCTATGGATGTAAACAAACTACAATTGATACTTGCAAAAAAGAAAATTGATGGAACCTAGAAAAATCAACAGAAATGATAACAACAATTAAACAATGAAATATCTCCATTTCTTCAGTAATACGTCTAAGATACAGAATCCAACTACTGGACAATAATAACAATGTAGAAAAGATAAACCAAAAGACCTCACTCTCTCTCTCCAAGACCAAGATACCTAGGCCCCAAAGAGATCCCAAGAGATTCTTTCCCAAAACCCACTTCAATTTCACTGAATACATGCATAAAGAAACCACACCCTAAGCATCTAAATATAACTTATTCCTAACTAACAGGCTTGGATATTTTATTAAAGGCCCATCAATACTCCCCTTCTAAAATTCACCTTGTCCTCAAGGTGAAGAATAGACTAGGATTCCACCTGGATCCCATTACTTGAAGCATATATAAACCCAGTTACACTCGACCCCACTGCTCCCTTGCAAATTGTTGTAGCTCCATTTTCCTTTAGTGCTCTGCTTTCGGTAGAATATTGACCCACTTTATAATCTGCATTGTCTCTCTTCATTGCTCTACATTCCTTCACAAAATAAGGTTGCACTTTGTCCTTCCGGTAGTCAATTTTTTGAGAGAAGTAAAACCCAGGTGCTCTTAGTTCAATTGAAAACTTTTTGTAAAATGGCACCCACTTCCTTGCAAAGCCAGCTGTCTCCACAAGAGATTCAAAATGTGAGCTTTTGATACGGACCAGTTCACAATCACACTAAAACTAATATAACAATTACACCAAAGATAACTAAACTGATTATAAATGGACCAGAAACAAGATTACAATGACCAATTCACCAAGTTCAGCAATAATATCAAATAACAGGGAAATTACAGAGTCATATGATTAAGCTCCTTCATTACAAATTTAACCAAATGGAAATACTGAAATGGAAATTACAAGCACAAAAGTAAAGGATAGTTGTGAAGCAGTTGGAGAGGCTCCACTCTCTCCCAAGGTCCAGGTTCTCAATTCAGGTTCTAGATAATCCTCTCTCACATCACCAGCCTCCATTTATCCTTCCCACGCACGTTCTATTGAGTTCCTTCATTCGGTTACAACGGAATGGCTGAGTCAGCATCAGGAGCAGCAGGGCCTTTGTTGATTGGGCCTTGATCAGCAGCCTCATTTGTAATCCATACTCTCCTATTCTTGTCCCTCTTGTATACCTGATTGGGCTTGGGTTGGTTGGGCTGGGTTGCATCAATATTCCCCCCCAATTCAAGCACCTTATCCTCAAGGTGGAAGTGAGGGAATTGTTGGTTGATGACAGCAAATGGCTCCCATGAATTTTCGAACTCAGGTAGGTGCTGCCATTTGAGAAGTACTTGTAACTCTCCAGTATTGGACAACCGCCAGTGGATTAACTTTTCTGGTTCCACAATCAACTCCCAATCTTCGGAAAGGGTTGCTGGTAAAGGTTGAGCATTTGGCACATGTGCCACAACCTTCTTAAGCAAGGAAACATGAAAAACAGGGTGGACTAGATAGCCTCATGGTAGTTGGAGCCTATATGCGGCTTCCCAAATCTTTTCCAAAACCACAAAAGGTCCATAATATCTGGGACTTAATTTTTCATTAACCCTCCGAGCAATAGTTTTGAGCCTATAAGGCTGAAGTCGCAGATAAACAAGGTCACCAGGGATAAATTGGACATCTCTCCTATGCTGGTCAGCATGCACAGTCATTTGGTTTTGTGCTTGCACTAAGTTTTGTTGCAATTCAAGCAGAATGTTGTCTCTTGCAATCAGGGAACTAGAAAGGGCATCCACTGTAGATGCATAATTCTCACCTTTCAACAAATGAGGAGGGTCCCTGCCATAGAGGGCTTTGAACGGGGTCATGCCCATAGCCTCCTTGTAGGTGGTGTTATTCCAGAATTCAGCCCAAGGAAGCCACTTGGGCCATTGTCTGGGCTGAGGCCCACAGAAACACCTCAAATAGACCTCCAAACACCTGTTGACTACCTCCGTTTGACCATTGGTTTGGGGATGGTAGGCAGTGCTATAGTGCAACTTGGTGCCTGCACTTTTGAACAAATCTGTCCAAAAAGAGCTCATAAAGACTCGATCTCTATCGGAGACAATAGTGGCTGGGAACCCATGAAGCCGTACCACCTCCTTCACAAACAAATCAGCAACGTCCCTTGCTGTATAGGGATGTTTTAGAGGTAAAAAATGGGCATATTTAGTGAGACGATCTACAACAACCAAGATTGTATCAAACCCCATAGCTTTGGGTAGCCCCCCAATGAAATTCATAGAGATATCATTCCACACCTTCTCGGGGATGGGCAACGGTTGCAACAGCCCAGCTGGGGTTAGGTTCTGGGCGTTGCTTTGTTGGCAAATTATACAAGCTGTCACATACTCCCTAACAGTTCGTTTCATACCCTCCCAATATACCAGGCCAACCAGCCTCTTGTAGGTTCTAAAGTACCCAGAATGTCCTCCAAAGTTGGAGTCATGGAATTCATGGAGGAGGACAGAAATAAACTTGAAATTCTTAGGCAATACTAACCTTTCATTGTAATACAACTTGCCTTCCCTCAACTTGAAGCCTGGATGAGCGTCCTTATTGATTAACAAAGCTTGGATAATGCCCTGAGCTTACTGTCATCATGCAGCTCCATCTCCAAGTCCTCCAATGCTGGGAGTTGTAATCTGGTGATGCTGGCTAATTGCATTTGCCTAGAGAGTGCATCAGCAACCAGATTTTCCTTGCCAGGGTAATATTGTATTTCGAAGTCAAAACCCAACAACTTCACAGCCCATTTTTAATGTTCCTCATTGAGCACTGCTTGATCCGTCAAAAGCTTCAAGCTCTTTTGATCAGATTTGATGACAAAATGCCTTCCCATCAAATAGTGCTTCCATTTTTGTACAACAAAGACTATAGCCATGAGCTCCTTTTCATACACTGTTTTTCCTTGTGCTCGTGAGAGAAACCTTGACTTAAAAATGCTATAGGCCTGTTACCTTGCATCAAAACAGTCCCTATTCCCTTCCCTGAGGCATCTGTCACCACGGTAAATGACTTGTTAAAATCAGGCAAGGCTAAGACAGGGACCGTACTCATCTTCTCCTTTAACAACTCGAAGGTCCTCTCTGCCTCTTCAGTCCAAATGAAGGCATCCTTCTTAAGCAGCTCCGCGAGTGGCTTTGCAATCTTCCCATAGTCTTGCACGAACCTCCGATAGTACCCTGTGAGCCCCAAAAACCCACGCAACCCTTTGATGTTTTTGGGTGCTGGCCACTGCCTCATGGCTTGGACCTTACTAGGGTCGGCACTAACCCCTTGAGCTGTTATAACATGCCCCAAATACTCCATGTGATCTTTACCGAAGCAATCCTTCCAAATCTGCCCATGTAGTGTCACTCCCTGTATCCCCTTCCTCTTCTGACCTTAGGAAAAACCCCTGACCATGATCATGCAAGGCTTTTACCACCGATTTTAGAGAAGCTTCTGAACGAAACAGTGAAGGATCCCCTTTGATGGTAATCTCTCGGCCCTGACTCATAAACTTCAGAGTGAGGTCCTTGAAATTAGCTTTGATCTCGCCTAGCTATTCCGTTGTAACCGAATGAAGGAACTCAATAGAACGTGCGTGGGAAGGATAAATGGAGGCTGGTGATGTGAGAGAGGATTATCTAGAACCTGAATTGAGAACCTGGACCTTGGGAGAGAGTGGAGCCTCTCCAACTGCTTCACAACTATCCTTTACTTTTGTGCTTGTAATTTCCATTTCAGTATTTCCATTTGGTTAAATTTGTAATGAAGGAGCTTAATCATATGACTCTGTAATTTCCCTGTTATTTGATATTATTGCTGAACTTGGTGAATTGGTCATTGTAATCTTGTTTCTGGTCCATTTATAATCAGTTTAGTTATCTTTGGTGTAATTGTTATATTAGTTTTAGTGTGATTGTGAACTGGTCCGTATCAAAAGCTCACATTTTGAATCTCTTGTGGAGACAGCTGGCTTTGCAAGGAAGTGGGTGCCATTTTACAAAAAGTTTTCAATTGAACTAAGAGCACCTGGGTTTTACTTCTCTCAAAAAATTGACTACCGGAAGGACAAAGTGCAACCTTATTTTGTGAAGGAATGTAGAGCAATGAAGAGAGACAATGCAGATTATAAAGTGGGTCAATATTCTACCGAAAGCAGAGCACTAAAGGAAAATGGAGCTACAACAATTTGCAAGGGAGCAGTGGGGTCGAGTGTAACTGGGTTTATATCATAGTTTTAAATAGCGGGTAGCGAACAGTAGCGGCCGACCCCCAAAACGCTATAGCGGGAAGCGGTAAAGCCGCTATTGTGAAGTCCATATTTACTTATGATAAATTATACCACATATATAAATACTATATAAATTCTATAAGATAAGAAATCACCCAAAATAGAAGGAAATGAGGAATGCAAAATATAATACTACACATTCAAAACAAGGATTCAAGGAACATAAAGGAACCAACATATTAATTCAATACCTGAAACGACGATGGGGCATTTGTTAAACCAAAGGGCATTACCAGGTACTAGTAATGCCTTTGATGTGTTCTAAAAGCTGTCTTGGGTATATCTTCTTCGCGCATTCGGATCTGATGGAACCCAGACATCAAGTCAAGTTTAGAAAAAA